CGAAGTAATTGAAATTAATACAACCAGCAAGCAAGATGAATAAAAATTTATTTCACAGAAATACTTTAATTTGTAAAAACATATCAGAATCTGAAATAATCTTTTAGTTTGGAAGAAGATCAAGTCCACTGAACTCACAGTGTCCCTTTAAGGAAATTATTCCCCTCTAGTATTCGAGGTTTGATTTGGAATATAACCTCCCAGGGTAAAATGATCTTAATAAGCAGAGTGTAGATACAAAAAAACTCTATTGTCAGCGAATCAATCCACAGTAGGAACGTACATAAAGAAAAATGTATTTAGAAGAAGAAAAAAGATCAAAAAATTTGTTTAAAAATATTCTGAACACTGAGTGGTATTTATAGGCAAGAAGAGTATGTTCTAAAAGGTTGCAACCCTTTCAGAATTGAAACGACCATTAATAAAAGTTTGCAACCTTTCAAATGGTATTGATTGTTCCTGAAAGTTGCAACTTTTTAGAACAGTCATGGAGGGAAATTTAAATAAACGGAAAATAAAACGGGTCACGCGCGGATTCGAGTCGGGTCGGGTTAACTAAAAAGTTGAAAACATTTTGGTTAACTAAAAACTTCTGTTATCAACAAATTAATTGAAAATATTTTTGGTCATTTAATTAAATAAATAAATAAAACAAACTTTGTCCTAAACATAATCTCTCGATCGATCATTTGCCAAAGTTAAAGCCTAAGCCAAAGCCGAAGCCGAAGCGAGCGAGCGACGACGACGACAGCGCGAGGGGGTTCCCTCTTTCCAACCCTTTTAAGAATTAATAGGAGTGTTTATGTATTTAAACTCTCCTATTTTTCTTCCCATCACCGATGAGGGTTAAATGCCTTTTCATTAAAGTATATAGAATTTCAATGTAAAAATTACACATTATAAGGATTACAACATTTGTGCAGTCTTTTGTTGTTGGCTCTCAAAAATTAAACTTCAAAAGTTTAATTTGTGCAGTCTTCTGTTGTAAACTTCAATGTAAAAAGCACACAAGTATTTCAAACAAACCAGCGATGACCACTGGAAACAAGGTTCATAACAAAGTTTAGAAGTGTCCACAAAAATCAATACATAACAACATGACATGATATTTTCAAAGAACTGCAGCATAGTGAAGCTGCTGAAGGAAGATGGGGAAGTCTGGCTAAGTATGGGGTTACGGAGACCACGACGGTCCGTCGTGACTGTGACGGTCCGTCGTGACTGTGACGGTCCGTCGTGACTGTGACGGTCCGTCCTGCAGGTTCTTTCATGACGTTCAGAGAAGTAATCCCAATACCCATATTCCAAGATTTTAACTAAGTGTGGGGTTACAGAGACCACGACGTTCCGTCGTTACTATGACGGTCCGTCCTACAGGTTCGTCATGAAGTTCAGAGAAGTAATCCCAGTACCCATATTCCAAGAGTTTAACTAGTGTGGAGTTACGGAGTCCACGACGGTCCGTCGTGACTGTGACGGTCCATCCTGCAGGTTCGTCATGAAGTTCAGAAAAGTAATCCCAGCACCTATATTCCAAGAGTTTAACTAAGTGTGGGGTTACGGAGTCCACGACGGTCCGTCGTGACTGTGACGGTCCGTCCTACAAGTTCGTCATGAAGTTCAGAGAAGTAATCCCAGTACCCATATTCCAAGAGTTTAAAGTGTTTTGGAACGGAGACCCTAGACATTTTAATCACAAGCTGCAACACATTAATGTTTTAGCCACAGACTCCTCAATTGCACAATACTAAAAGAACAGTTATTCAACTAACGATTCGAATGCTTAAACCAAAAACAAAAACATCCTTAAATATTTATAAATTGGTGGACTAAACTTAGACAAGTAAAAATAAGTTTTGAATTTCATTACCATGAACACAAACTAAACTAGAATAAAAACAATATTGACACTATTAAAAGAGAATTTGAAATACAAAATACCTTTTGAAGAATCGAATCTTGAGCGACCCCAAAGAAAATGGAAGATTTGTGCCTCTTACAGCTTGTGCACTACTTGCATCAATAGGTGAAGCAAGGTTAGACCCAACACACCCTCGTATATCTTGAAAAATCAATCCAGGGTTGTTTTGTAGCAATTGAGTGAATAAATGTCGCATTTCTTCTCTCAATTCTTCCTTTAGAGAAGTGATTTCATCGGCATGATTTTGTTTTAGACTGTTAATTTTCTCATCTTTCTTCAAAGAACTTGTTGTCACTGATCTACCATAGCACCTAACTCGACCAAGCTGCTTCTTTCCAAACACTGCCCTAAATGCATCATCAGTTGTTTCCCCAGAATTTTGGCGATTTTGAAGTTCATCCCATTGAATAAAATTGGCATCCATAGTGAATTGTAAGTACTATTTCATTTCCAATCCTATGATAGCGATCAAGCATTAAAACATTATGAAAACTTTTCGTAAAAAATAATTAAACAATGTCGATAAATAATAGATATCTCCTCGAACTTGCACAAGAAGAAGAAGAAGAAGAAGAAGAAGAAGGCATACGTGATTAAAATTTAATGTAGTCAAACTCCCCACAATATAAATGTTAAGTCTGAATAAAGTTCACTAATAATCCTCTTTGAAAAATTTACTATTGCAATTTGGGTATCAGCCTGGATTTCCTTTCCATCTTGGCACGAGTTGCAATAAATATTTCAGGCTTTGATGATTCTTCGTTGTTGTCTTTGGCTGCACGCTACAGATTATATCAATAGAAATTTTAAAAAATCAGTAAGTTCTTATAAAATACAAAAAAATGAAAATCAAATTTTGTATGAAATGTCAGCTAAGTATTACCAATGCCACGCGGTACTCTAGCAAAATTAATAGGTCCCATTCGATGCCTCCACTTTTGTTTTTTCCTGTTTTGAGAATTCATCTCGCATATAGCCTATTGTTAAAAACAAAGAGATAATTGAATTGATATGTATAAAAAGAATAGATATGACACAGAATTAGTCGATGAGTGGAAATGCACCATTTTAACCTTACTTGAACAGTTGGGTGTTTCCAATACTCGATCAACTGGCGGAATTGATTATGTGGAATGCCATCAGGACATTTTGCTAGCATATCCTCAAGGGTACTGTTTTTATCAAAAAAATTCTTTTTAATTTCTTGCTTGTGTTGCCTCCAAGCATCACGAAGACCAGTCATCACCCACTTCTTTCCTTCTACTAGAAGTTGAAATTTGGACTATACAAAATAAAATATATTTAGTTTCAGTAAGTAATAAAAAAATATGAATTCTCATGAGTGGCTATTTTTACATTGACATATTCCCACATGCCTTTTTTAGTATCATTTGGCACCACATGCCAACTAGTGTACATCAAGCTGATGAATCTAGGATTCCTTGCAATTGTTCCTATAAAGTTGCTTAATTGTGACACTATCTTATTAGTTGGTCCCACCACTTGTTCTTTATCAAATGTCACCTCCTTTCTTTCTTCCAAATTTCTTGCATGAATATCTTTACATGTTGTATGTCCTCGAACTTTTTTTGGCTTCGACATTTCTAGATTGATGTAATAGACATGAAATAAGATATTTCTTTTATAATGAGTTCTAAATCTTACAAGGTTTAAAACATACCTTTTGTACTACAATCAATGTCAATTTCCTCTTCTTGTTCCACACGATCATCCAATCCTTTGTTATGTTCATTAATAATAGGAGTATGCATAAATTCGACATCACTTGTTGTGTTGTTGTCACATTTTGTTTCATCATCTTTGTGTATCCCTTGATCTTTTAGAAACTGATCAATAGTACTAGCTGGTATGACCGGCTTCCTCTTTACCTGTTTGCAATTCGGTAGATCAAGAATATCATGTCGTGCCTCTCCATTACCTAGTGTTGTTCCAGTCGCATGTGCTGAAGCAGTAACATTTTATTGAATGACATTTGGAACCTAGAATTATTCATAGTAAGTTTAGTTCCAATTATCTTGAATGGACTCTTCAAATTGAAATAACCTCTGTTTAGTTTGTCCTTTTCCTGCAATCATGCGTGAGGTTCTAAGCTCTTCCCTTGAAGACAATTGAATGACTGATTTGTGCCCAAGCAATTTACTTTTTCCTTGTTGTGGAATGAAATCCTCAAAATTCTTTCTTTTATGTGATATTGGTGCCTGCTCTTTCTTAGCTTTATCAATGCGTTCATTTGCAAGTTGTTTTCTCTTAATCTTGAATTTGTTGTCCAATTCAGCACTTGATGGGTATTGCATATCAACATCCAGATTCTTAAATGGACTTTGAGCTTTGTTTGGATTCAAACCCTTTTTCTTTAGCATTGTTGATTGATTCATTTTTTTCTTTGTTTAAATTTTTTCAATTTGTTTCCCAATAGTAAGTAAACCTACAAAATAATAAGATTGTTTAAGTGAATGAAGTAGCATGATGGATTCAAATTGGAAGAACTACATGAACAAACAGAAAAATTGATAACATATGAAACAAGAGGCCGTTAGCTGCATCCACATTTAAAAACTGGAGAGCTTCTTGTTACTTAAATTAATAAAAGGTAAAGAGTTGTACCTCTCTCGGAGCGAAAAACTCAGGACAACGACCAAACCAGAAGCAACTTCAAACTACAGAGTTGAATGCCTCTAATGCCAACTGCCTGATAATAAATGAAACTAGAAAGTATATAAATAACAAACAACCAAATCAAGCAAAACTAAACTAGAAGTATAGGTTACTCAATAAAATAATAATCAGATAAGAAGGCAACATATTACATTCCAAAGATTAGATATATTAATGTATTTAACAAAAAAAACTATTATATTACAAAAACAGTGAGTGAGCACTATAGATCATCACAACAATAATGAAACTCATGGTGTGTCTTATTCAGACTTTTCTTCAGGCTCGACTTCATCATCATACTCATCTTCATAATAATTTCAGACTCGTCTTCAAACGCATCTAAAAACTCATCTTCATAATCATTTTCAGACTCATCTTCGAACTCATCTTCAAACTCCTCTTAATACTCAACTTCAAGTTGTTGATTGACAAATTCCTCCACAGGCACATCAATGATTGTTTCTGGTAAATCAGTCCTTGTTAAGAGTACTTCACCATTATCTTTTGGTATAGATGGACCCTTCGAATGTTCAGATGTCTCATTTTCATAACTTTGTGGGAGATTAGATTCAACTTCATCACCCATGTTAAAAAAGTCTCTTGGAACAGTCTTCATAACATAATGTTTATATTGATCATATGGATCTTGCACATAGAAGCATTGGTGTACTTGAGATGCAAGCACAAAAGGCTCTTCCAGAGAGCATCTCTTGTTAAAGTAGACATAAGTAAGGCCATAATCATCTTTTTCAACCTCATACCAATCACACTTAAATAAAACAACCTTAAAATGACTGTAATAGTTTAATTCAACAATATCAACTATTCTACCATAATAAGTCAAATCTGCAGCAATCGGATTTTTATCCTTTGAGCTTGCAAAGCTTGTAGTTGAGGCAATTAGTGTAACACCACTATTTTGTGTTTTACGCCTTGCATCACACTGCCTAACATGGAATCTATATCCATTTATGAGATACCCAGAATATCTTTTTGCAACAGAATTTGGTCCTCTAGAAAATTGTTTTATCAAATCCGGCACATCCTCTTGCAAAGCACGAGTTTCAAACCATTGATAGAAGTTTTGACAATGATTCTTGTCTTTGCTCCATTTATATCTTCGTGACTGATTATTAACCTCTTGCTCATGCTCTCTACAAAACTTTTACTATATTTGTTAAAATAATAAATTAAATAAGATAAAAATTAATTATACAAAAGGAATGGTATATTCAAATTAAGGTACCTAATATATTCTTGAACATCGTCACAATTTCTTAATAAGTATGCATGTGCCTGACTTAGTGACTTGTCATCTAAATTGATTGGATCAGTTTCCTTTGATCCTAAAGGAACTCCTTTGTTAGAAAACAAACTCACAGGTTCTGCGTCACTTGGGTCACATTCATCATTGTTACGTGCTCTCCTATTTAATCTGGTATGCACACCCCGATGCAGATATTTTGAGAATAAATTCATGCAATCTATTCCCACTCGTGTCTCTGCTATGCAATCTTCTGGAAAACGCCTATTGCGAATGTATGATTTGATTGTACCCATTTCTCTTTCAGTGGAATACATCCATCGATTTTGCACTGGGCCGCCTAATCTCACTTCTTTCACCAAATGAATAGGCAAATGAATCATGATATCAAAAAATGAAGGAGGAAAAATTCGCTCCAACTGATTTACTGTTTCTATGATCTCTACTTCTAAGCAATCAAGTTCCTTCAATGTGATTACATTTTGAAACAAACGATAGAAGAAGGAAGTTAGACGAATCAAAGGAATAGCCACATGATCAGGAAGAATGCTTTTAATTGGTATTGGAAGCAAGTAATGTAACATGAAATGAGCATCATGGGTTTTATAATTAGACACCTTTCTTTTATCTAAGTGCACACACCTAGATATATTGGAGGCACTACCATCAGGTAGCTTGGCTGTCTTTAAAACTCCACAAAAGATGGATTTCTCTCCATTTGTCATTGAGAATCACGCCTTTGTAAACTTTGTTCTCTTACTATCTTCTGTATCTTGTGGATGAAGGTTCTTTCAAATCATACCGTGCTTTTGCATGATCCTTTGTTTTTCCTGAAATATCAAAAAGAGTTCCAAGTATGCTATCAACTATGTTCTTCTCTATGTGCATTACGTCAAGGTTGTGATGTAACAAGTTGTGCTGCCAGTAAGGTAATTAAAAAAAATTGACCTTTTTTCCATGGGCCATCATTTGATCTCTTTTTCTTCTTCCCAAACACATTTTCAAAATCACGTAAGCTATTAAGAACATCAATTCCCTTTAAAGAAGCTGGAGGAGGCCTAAATTCAGTTTTTTCCATTGAATGATCTTTTGTTTGATCTCCATGGATGATCCATCGGTAGAAAAACACAATGATCCATATAGCACATTTTCTGACTATGTTTAAGATAGCGAGAATTAGTGCCATATTTACAACAAGGGCAAGCAAACTTTCCTTTTGTACTCCAACCAGATAATATAGCATATGCAGGAAAATTTCTGATTGTCTACATAAGAGCTGCCCACATTTGAAAAGTTTCATTTCTCGAAGCATCATATGTTTCAACCCCAGAATCCCATAGTAATTTTAACTCATCTATCAATGGTTGTAAGTAAATATCAATGTCATTTCCAGGTTATCGCGGTCCAGGTATAAGTAAAGAAAGTATGGAATATTCATATTTCATGCACATCCAAGGCAGCAGATTATAAATCATCAACATAACTGGCCATGTTCTATGTGATATACTCATGGTTCGAAATGGATTGAATCCATCACTTGACAAGCCAAGTCTCACATTGAGACAATCTTGTGCGAAATCTGGATGCACCCTATCGAAGTATTTCCATACTAGACCATCAGCGGGATGCCTTAACTTTCCATGTTTAGAACGTTCCTCTTCATGCCACCTCAAAGAATCTGCCATCTTTGAGCATATAAATAGCCTTTTGAGTCTAGGAATTAATGGAAAGTGTCTCAAAGTCTTTGCAAAAAGTCGATGTTGTTTTTTTGAAGACTCAAGCTCATAATCAACTTTAGGAGCTTGAATATATCGTGAAGCACCACAAGTATGACAAAATTCGTCATCCTTATGATCATTCCTGAACAACATGCAATCATTTGGACATGCATCAATTTTATCATAATCCAGACCAAGATTCTTAACCATAAACTTAGTTTTATTGTAAGACTGAGAAATGTTCAACTCGGGCATCACCTCTTTTAATAACTCTAGAAGAGAAGTGAATGATTCATTGCTCCATCCATGTAAACACTTCAACAAATATAAGCGAAGTGTGAATGATAATTTAGAGAAACCTATACAACCAGAATATAATTCTTGGTTTGCCTCTTCAAGTAAGCTATAGAATTTCTTGGCATCTTCATTTGGACCATTATAAACTCCTCCAGCCTGTGCAACATCTCTAAATTGGTCATTCAACAACCCATAAATATCATCACACGAGTAATCCATATCATCATCAACATTCAACTTGATATCCCATTCCCCATGATTGATCCATCTAGTATAGCCTTTAACGAATCCATGGCATATTAGATGATAATACACTACATTCCTTCAGTTTCAAAGAATATTACAACATTTCACACATGGACACTTAAATTTCTCTCCATGAGGATCTCCATAAGAGTAAGCAAAATCTAGAAATGATTCAATGCCATCAATATACTCTTTGCTATACCTAGCTAAATTCATCCAATCCTTGGATGGGATATGTGAACTCCTAGAAGAATATATCAATATTTAGTCTTTTAGCAATAATCATTAACCAGTTAACAAATAAGTTTTAAAAGACGAGTAATCTATCAGAATCATGTGTTATGAGATGATAAAAGTTTCTTACCTAGTCATGAGGCTTTCGCTATGTCAAATCAAACCTTTAATCCTCCACAGATGTTTTTCAATGTTGATGTTACTATAAATGACAAAATAAGTACAGTTAATAGGATATAAATAAATCTATCCATAGATAAATGCGGAGATTTTGAGCGAAGAAATGCAGAAGAGACCACCTACGGAGCTTGTGACGGTCCGTCGTGCTTGTGACGGTCTATAGGTGGCAGCGTAGTGCAGTTGCTGAAGTAAGATGGGGAAGTCTGACTAAGTGTGGGGTTACAGAGCTTGTGATGGTCCGTCGTGCTTGTGATAGTCTGTAGGTGGCAGCGTAGTGCAACTACTGAAGGAAGATGGGGAAGTCGGACTCAGACTAAGTGCGGGGTTACAGAGACCACGACGGTCCATCGAGTGTGTGACGGTCCATCCTGCAGGTTCGTCATAAAGTTCAGAGAAGTAATCCTAGTACCCATATTCCAAGAGTTTAAGTGTTTTGGAACGAAGACCCTCGACGGACCGTCATGCTTGTGACGGTCCGTAGGTGGCAGCGTAGTGAGTTGTTGAAGGAAGATTGGTAAGTCAAGTGTGGGGTTACGGAGTCCACGACGGTCCGTTGAGTCTATAACGGTCCGTTCTGCAGGTTCACTATGAAGTTCAGAGAAGTAATCCCAGTACCCACCCTTTCAGTGAGTGCAATCAACTGGAATTGTTGAAAAGTGAATCAAGATCATAGATCCCCTGTTACCACCCCAAGGCAACCTAAGAGAGAACGAATGGCTCTAGAAAAGTCAACCTAGGAGAGAACTCTTACGAATTTTGTATAATAGGAATCCAAGGAAATCTAGTATATGCAGAAACACAAAGCATAGGCAATACGACAAATATTGAAGCTGAAATCACAGCAATTTGGAAAGCACTAAGTTATTTCAAGAGGTGTGGGATCACAAATGCCATTTTAGAGATTGACTCGCTAAGTCTCAAGAACATGATTAAATGAGAGTGGAGGTTAACTTGGAGTTTAATTGATAAGATAGAAGAGATGCATATGATTGTGGGAACAATTCAAATCCAGATAGTACATATAATTAAAGAAGTTAATCAATTAGCTAATTGCATCACAAACATATCTATTAACCAAGAAAACAGGCAGCAGTATCACAGATTTCAAGATCTACCTAGTAGTGCAAGAAAGATCTTAAACATGGACAAGCAACAGTACCAACAATCAGAATAAGAACAAAGAAAATCTTAACCATCTGCAGAAATTAACATGAAAAAGGAAGAACCACAAAGGTCACCTATTTACAAAATCATTTGTGGACAAGCAGGGAAAAGTATTTGTTTACAAACCAACAACCCCCACCTGAAGATAGACCGATATTTGATATCTGACAAAAGAAAAGAGCAGCAACAAGCCGAAAACAAAAAAAGAGAAAAAATACATTCATAAGCTGATTCTGCAAATGCTGTGAAAATAAGTCGATGTTTAGTAACAGAAGGAAGTTAGCATTTGAGATTTTAAGCAAACAATACAAACGATTCCAACTAACTTTCATTTTATTGACGAATTGATATTCAAAAGAAGCAAACAATACAAATGATTCAAAATATAAATCAAGGACTACAACTAAGGAAACTTGTACAAAATAAATGAAAACTAGAGGAAATTTAATCACCTAAATGAGTTATCATTATTTGGAAAATACCAACAGAGAGGAACTAACTTCTCACTTGACACGAGGTATCAAAATTAGTGATTCACAAAATTACGAGGGAAAATAAATGAAGATGCAAATTAAAAAATAGCATGCTCAAACACTGTCTGAACAAGGATAAAAATCTCACAAAACTAAACGTGAACTTTAAACTGAAATTATCTTAATATTGGCATTAGCGACAGATAGACTGAAAACCACAAAATAAAAGATAGAAAATGTCATCTTTAAGTTTATTAAACACGGACTTAAAGAGAAGAACATTTGAAGTAAATAGGCAGCCAACTCATGCTAGTAAGAGGGTCTCTTTTGTGCTTATGGCCAAAACTACTGAATTAGCTAGGCTAAACGAAAAAGTGCATGCAAATGTAGTCATCAAATACTATGAAATGATTCCGACAACTTCATAGTAAGAGGTTATCCCAAAACATTTCAGAATACTAAAGTTACTATCTATACTTGAAAATGTACTAGAGAAACAACAAAATTACTTCTTCATTCTTCAAGACATACAGTCGAAAACAAAAAAATTGTTCCAACAAATAGAGACAAGACAATTATTGTGATTAACAAATGAACAAACAAAGATTAAGACGAGCACAGTAAAAAAATTAGCGACCATAGATTAAAACAAACATTATAGCAAGAAAGATCTTAAACATGGACAAGAAACAATACCAGCAATCAGAATATGAACAAGGAAAATCTTAAGCATCTGCAGAAATTAACATGAAAAGCAAAGGAAAATCTAAACGTTTACGAGCTACACTCCAAAAATCAACTGAGTTTCCGAAAAATCAAATAATTTTCGGAAAACAGAATCGTTCTTACTCTTAAAGAAATCGTTCTTACTCTTCAAGGAATCTTTCAACTCTTCAGCTCAGTTTATCGAATCTTTAGCTTGTATTAGAAAAGAGAACTACTTCTTCAGCTATCTTCACCTCTCTTCACTTCGAACCTTTAGTTCTTCAGCTTGTATCGGAACCTATCGTTCTTCAGCCAATTCTTCTGCTGAAAAGAGAAACGTGAAAAGGAAAGCTGAAAGAGGAAAGTGAAGTCAAAATGTTTTGTTAATGTTTAATTTTTTGGCTGAAAGAGGAAAGCTGAAAGAGAAAAGCTGAAAATGTTAATGGATATTATTATTATATTGGATAAAAATGGGAGGTAGTGTTAAAAATATTGGAGGGAATATAAAATTTTATTGAAAAATATTAAGGCAACACTTATAAAGTGTTGTTTTTTTAATTATAAAAAAAGGACATTTTAGAAGTGTGGTCATATATGTAAATAGGTGTTGCCAATTATATCATACTTTAACAACACTTATAAAGTGTATCTTATATTATTAAAGAGTACACTTTTGAAGTGTTGCAAAAATTATTGTAGCTAAAAGTG